ACTGTCATCTTCGTCGCCCCATTGCTCGCCGGCGAGTTCAAAGCAGGTCGTAACCCGGAATTCAATGACCCAAATAAGAATCACATTAGAATCGACGACGCTAATTGAGCCGCCAGCGGAGGCCTGGTAGATATCAAAGAGGCCATCAAATATGGGGCAGTCCTCGCCGATATTGAAGCGCCTAAGGTGACAGGAATGGACGGAATTGACGAGGGTCTCGAGGGTTTTTTTTTTTTTTTTTTTTTTTGAAAAATTTGAGGAACTGGAAAATTTTGAGGAAGACATTTTTTTAATTAATTTTAATTGTTAAATAAAAAATTAATTTTTAATTTTAGTTGGGGAATGAGTGGGCCCCACTTCTCCTACGTCATCATTTAATAGCCAAATTGACAGAAAATTTAACGAAGGTCTAACATTGCAACGAATTCATAAGTTGGAGGTATGAAATTACAATGTTTAAAACATGAGATATGAGATTGTTGTTTGACCCATAGTTGAGGTAGTTTTGTGTAATTTACCATTTTTTTTAATAAACGATATTATCTACACGAATGAGAGGAGGTAAGCTTAACATCATAATGGGCTAGCAATATAATGTAGTTTATATTCGCCTTTAGCAAGAATAGAATATAAGATCTCTCAAGTGGAGATGAATACTACTAGACCTTAGTACTAAGTGACTATTAAACGGACTTCTAGAGTATGCAAGTGAGACCAAACCCAAAATGCAAGGTACCCTTGACTTTGAAACAAACAAAGCACGAGCGAGAGAATCTAATCCCTAACAAAACAATAGGAAAAGTTTGGTCGACCAAGAAGCTTTCTATTTTGGAGTCAATTCTAAAATAAACAAATGCAAGTGTATGTAAATTATGACTCTCCTGGTATTAATTATTAAAGATAGTACAATATATACAGTTATAACAATCTCTATTGTGAAAAGAATCATATACTAATTATAATTTAATAAGAGAAGTGTTATTGGCATTTCAAAAATCTCATTCTATACTTTTTATAAGTATATTTTTCTTTCCTAATATAGAAAGTTTAGAGTGTAGAATGAGATTTTTGGAGTGCTGACACACCCCGATCCGAAATGTCCACTTGGACACCCGAATCGTGATGTGTTGGCCAACACCTGGAAAGTGATAAAGCCATAAAGTGTAGTGATGTGGAAATATGAATAAATTAAAACCTAAAAGTAACTAATTTAGAGTGCGCATGTGAGTGGGTCTTTGCTATTAAATATTATATACTTATTTAGTTTCCATTTATACATTAAAAAAAAAAACTTCCTACGTATGCCTAGATTAGACTAATATTTATAAGAATTTATGAAATTATCCTAAATCATACGGGATGCACATGTATGCATAATATTAAGGGATGCCTTATTTATATTTACGGCAGTGAATAGTATTATGTCGGCGTAAGTTATGGGTTTACCGCTATTTGATTTTGTTTACGTTATCTGCTCATCGTTGCTGCACCGCTGTTAATACTTGCCCGAGCCAGGTTCAGGCTTTCAAGTGTATGTGCACATTGTGCCATATGCTCACTTTGGATCCATTGTAGGTGCCAGTCCAGTCCTAGATTGCTAGTCAATTAGGATTCGTATGTGCTACGCATGGCGTCAGTCTTCACGTGATTGTAGTACTAGAGTTTATATTATTGTTACACCTAGTCATGTTCATGTCAGAATACCTCTGCATGGACTCTTGTGTCAACATGTGTTGATGAGCATTTAATATGATATGTTTGCTTATGCAAGATTATGTGGTCACGAAAGTCATGTGGTTACGGAAGTCATGTGCATACTTACGAAATATTTTGCTGTATTAAATTCTTGAGATTTTGCAGGTTACAGTAAGTATTTTCTTACTATACGCAATATGTATATTTTGGAAACTATGCTTGCTTTACGGTGATGGGTTATTATGTCTTCAAAAAAGCTTTTATAAAGCTTTGGTTAGCCCCACTCACCCTTGTTTTTCGCCTTTCTAGGATTTTAGTGGCAGAGGCTTTGTGACGACAAGGATGGTTGGCAAAAGTTGTTATGTAGGAGACTTCTTCTTTCGGCATAAATGTCATTACTCTTCTTTTACTCCAATTTATCTATGCTCTGACATCACTTATGTGATATGGGTTCAATTCCCGCTCACATGCGCACTCTAAATTAGTCACTTTTAGGTTTTAATTTATTCACATTTTCTACATCACTATACTTTATGGCTTCGTCACCTTCAAGGTGTCGCCCATCACATTGCGATTCGGGTGTCCAGGTGGACATTTTAAGCGTGTACTACAATCACGTGAAGACTGGCGCTAATGCGCTGTCACATACGAGTCGGAGTTCCTTATTACAACCTGTACGACAGGACTGACACCTACTTGGATCCAAGGCGAGCGTATATATTACACTCAGTTCTGTTCATATCAAAATTTCTACTAAATAAACTTGTGTGCAAGCATATTATTGTTGGAGAATTTGATGAGCAATAGATTATAGTGTTGAGCAATAGTTTAATTATTGTTGAGAATATACATTATATTGTTGAGAATATATTTTATATTGTTGAGCATTAGATTATATTTTTGGGCATGTGATATTATTATTGTGATATGGCACTACGTGATTAATGATTTGATATTACTATTGTATTTTCTATATTGACTAAAATGTCATTGCTTAATTGGCATATTACATATTCTACTCACTGAGCGACGGTAGTTGTTACTCATCCCTCACCTTTTTATTTTACAGATGAGTTATTTGACAAGACAAGTGTTAGACAAGCTAAGTTTGTGTTAGACAAGGGATTTAAGAGTTTTCTTATTTTTGTACACTTTGTAAGGATTTTGTAATAGTTACTTGTATAAGAGAAGTTATTGTTTTATGTTTTTAGTTTTACTTTTACTTTTACACACGCGCCGGGCGTGGGATCCTATCGACCCTGGGTCTGGGGCATGACAAGTGCTAATAACAATTCCCTTTGATAATTATGGAGAAGATTTTGGAGATAAAGATTCTATTCTAACATCGTCTCAAGTCGTTCTAATGTCTCTAATCTCTAATAAGAATGTTGTTGTAATAATAAAAAAATAAAAAAGTTTGCATTGCCAAGATCTTGAAAGCAACCTTTTAACAAACCAAAATAAGAGGACCCAAAAGATGATGATTGCCAGCAACTTGCAACATCAAATGAATTATGAGTGCAGAGTCTGATTCCACCAATAATTTATTAATCCATAATCTCCATGCCAATTGTAAATCCAAATAAAGTTCTTATAGCTCAGTAGTGAGAATCTTGCATGTGCCCAAATTTGGCACAAAACCCTAAAATTCAGTTACCAAACAACACTTACAAGAAATTATTATTTCTGCTCTTGCAACCATCAACATTAAACTTAAACAAATACGGAGAAGCTTACAAATGGGGCAAATATTCAATTCTATAGGGTTTACCAATCTTGTGAGTATTAAACTTCGACCACTCACAAAGATTTTGTAGTCGATAGTTTAACGACCTATAGTCTTAATTTAGATTTAGCAACTTTTTATTTTGATAATTCTCTTTTAGGTTCAGTTAGTTTTGTTTGTGAGGATCAACGTGAGATGTCCTAGTCTAAATTTATTGTTGTATAATTTTGTTTGGGCTATTAGCATTTAGCCCGGTTTTTCAACCAAAACAAAAAAAGTTGATTGTGAGACATGTTATATCTAAAATAGTAGTGTTATTTACACACATTTTTTTTACTCCCATACATATTTGTTATTTTTATCTATTAATCTTCTTCAATTCATTCGATTCGACGATCGGAAATTGAGATGAGTTGAATATCATAGTGCGCAACGAACAAGATTACAATAATAATAGGAATATTATTAAACAAACGAGAATGCCGGAACAGCTACAAAACCCTAAGAGACTACATTGTGAATAACTTCTTCTCTAATGAATAACAAGGCACTCTATTTATAATAAACTAACCTAACCCTAATGCTAACAGGCTAGGCCCAAACTAAACTTATAACAAAACCCAAACAATATAATACCTAAAATACTAATATATTCCAACACCCCCGTCAAACTCATGTCGGTATACGACATGAGTTTGCAAACAAGCAAATGCGGACTGGCTCCGTTAGGCAGACTGGCAGGCATGCAAACTTGACTTGACTTGACTTGACTGGCAAACTGGCAAACTTGACTTGATTCTTGACTAGCTAATGTTGAGAGTATGGAAAGAACCCATCACTAAACGGATAAGATTTCCATATCTCAATTGTAGCAACGAACGAACAAACACAACTATCACTCGAATGACGAACGAGTAAACTCCACAGCAAAACACACCCGTGTGGGCTTCCAACACAAAAAATGAGCAAACAAGCCATTAGCCATTTTCTTTTCCTTGCCCATGTGGGCGTCAAAACCTCCAAACAAATTTTTTTTCCTTTTTCCTTTTTTTTTCTTTTTCTTTTCTTCTTCTTTTCTCCAAACAAGTGCAACAATCCTCAAATTTGATTGCAGGGCAGGGTGAGCGTGCTATGGCAATGAGATTCTGGTGGGGTTCAAAGCAAACATATTCAAAAATAAAAAAGAAAATCGTTTTCAAAACTAACATTGAAAACTAATATCAAACAAACAACATGGATACTTATCAAGAACAGATTAAATCCCTAAAGATCAAATCTGCTCTGATATCAAGTTGAATATCATAGTGCGCAACGAACAAGATTACAATAATAATAGGAATATTATTAAACATACGAGAATGCCGAAACGGCTACAAAACCGTAAGAGACTACATTGTGAATAACTACTTCTCTAATGAATAACAAAGCACTCTATTTATAATAAACTAACCCTAACCCTAATGCTAACAAGCTAGGTCCAAACTAAACTTATAAGAAAACCCAAACAATATAATACCTAAAATACTAATATATTCCAACAAGACTGTGAAAAGCACCGCCCTAATGCTCGGATCAAGCGTTTCTTTATGTCCCCCTTGTTATGACAGGTTACTGGAACATTAGGTACGAAGTTTCCGTCATGCACAAAGACTTCAGCTTCATTCAGCTTGCCGGAGTACAAGTCTAGCAAGGTACTGGTCTCATTGTCTGACGATCTTTTTGTTTCGAAATACTCCTTGAACTGGTGTTCTTGTTACGAAATCTGCCATAGAAAAAATAACAACAAAATAAAAGAAATTTCTGTTGCCGAAATTGCTCACCCTTTCGATGCTGCATGCTGATCACATCTAATTCAAACTATAAATCAACTCACTCGTCTTGGTTTCACAGCTCCGGTTTCAAACACGCCAAGAATATGGTGCCGCAGCTGTGTCTGTTTCTCTGTGCCAGTCCCCTGCAATCAACCTTTCAGCAACCGTCGGTAGTGCAAGCTTTGTCATCGGTATGGAGGCAGAATACAAAACCGCTTCCAGCACTTTCTCCAAATGTAATGCAGGCATTAGCATGAAGAGTCTCAATTCTGATGCTTCAATAATTCTGTAAGTCTTTTCATTTCAATCTACAAACCCTATAACTATGAAGGCGGATAAAGCGTCTGATTAAAAATAAATTTATCAACAAATTTTGTAGAGGCCAAAATGCAGATTTGAGTTTCTAATATGCTATCTTTGTGATATGTTTAGGGGAAACAAGGGTGGCTTGGTAACAGCATCGTACGTTCATTATCTTGATCAAGAAAAGAAGAATGCAGCAGTGGTGGAGTTCACTCAGAACCTCTCAACAAAGAGAAGCACCTTGACAGTTGGAGGATCGTGCATGGTTGATCATCAAACAGTGGTGAAAGCTAGACTCGATGGTAGCGGAGATGTTAAGACTCTTCTGCAGTACAGTATTAGACCCAAGTCGCGCTTGTCTATCTCCGGCGAGTTCAACACCAAGGCACTTGACAGGATTCCTAAAATTGGACTGGCACTTTCTCTTGCCCCTTAAACAATTTCGCAATATTCATATGCAACTGATGCAATTATTAGATAGATGTTTCTACTGATATAAGTTTTTCTAGATCTGTATGATTCTATCAGTTTAGAAAGCTGCCGGTTCAACAGGTCTAGTGCTAGTGTTTCAAAGCAATCTGCATCTGAAATTCGAAATCATTTCAGCGACAACCGAAGGATTTTACTTATATGATCTAGTTGCACACTGGCTGGGAATTCCCAAAAAATAAATCTTGACACACTTACAAATCAACTCCAAACTAGTATTGCATCTCCCACTGATTTTATCTAATGGCTTGGAACTTCTTGTTCCCGTCTACTCAGTAGTTTATGGAGCAGCATCCACTTTTTGTTTTTCGCTCTATCCAGTTTAACCTGCGCCATAGAAGTTCTCCGTCGCTTGAGAGCAGACTTGAACGCAGAGGGATGTTCAGCAAAAGCATGAAAATCTTCCGCTTTAGATCCGCGCACACCAGCTCAATAAAATCAATGTGTATGGAGAACATTTCTATTTCAGTACTACAGCCATCACATTCAGCAGTCTGCAAATGTATTAGTAACAACAGGTTGTGCGGTCCAATGGTCACTTTGGAGATTTGAACCTGGTGCACCATTTGATCAGTAGCGCTTCAACACTGGCATCCATTCGGGTCCCGATTCCTCCCCAGACCAGCATATGGGCGAAGTCTCCAAATGTCGAACCAGTTACTTCATGTACAGCCTTGAATCCGATTCTTGAATAGAACCGCACAAGCTGAACAAAAAAATTAGACGCTTCACCATTTTGCTATTTGTGTTATGAGAGTATAAAACGGAAAGGGAAATATGCACAAACAGAACCTTTTACAAACCGTCAATAAGAAGTAGAGCTTCTTCACTACGTCAACTGTAAACAGAAAATAAAAGGACGAACCTTGTGGTGGTAAATATCGGAGTCATTGATAGCCAGCAGCTCAGCCGTTCCGCAACCGCAATCGTATCCATACCGAACGGCAACAGCTCCAAGAAACAAACCGATCCCAAATATCGACTTCTCCATCCCCAGAGTCTCTCTCTTGAGTCTGATGGACTCCAAGTGAAGGATCCTCCCTTTCAGCCAGACCCTTATGAGCCCCTCGGCCTTTCCGAGCTCTTTCTTCGTCCCCAAGCTTCTGGCCGTGATTCTGAAAAAGGGTCCCACAGTTTGGAGCTGCAGGTCCAGCTTCTGGGATTTTGATGAGTCCAGTATCTCAGCCATGGTTGGCATTGTGGGTCCGGTGCCGGCCTCTCTACTTTTCTTGGTAAGGGTAGTGGGGGTGAGTAATGAAGAAACAATTCGGGTTCTGGTTCGGATTAAAACGCTTATGGTGCGGCGAAAATGAACAGTTGGATTTGGCATGGAGAGGTTGGAAGTTGAAATCATTGATACGGATGATAGTTCCATATTTTTCTGATTTAATTTTTGGGATTAGGGTTTTGGGGTTTTCTTTTACAGAAATGTTTGTGAAGTGATTCAGAAGTATGAAGAATTGGATTCTTTCAGTTTCATATCTCAAAGCTTGGAGACACTGGCTACCGTGATGGAGTTTGGTTTTAGATAAGCTACACGTGGCTACACCACCACCATCATGTGTCCTATCTTGAGCAGGTGCTTATAATCCTTTTTTTTTTATAGTTATTCATATCAAGGGAAGGAGAGGGAATATTCCACCTTATTTACTGAAACATTAGACCACATGCAGCAAAAGTCTTTATAATCTTATTTCAAAGAGAGAGTTTAATGAAGTTTCTTTCATGTGGCTCTAGAGTTTAGGGAAGGGGGGGGTGCAAAACGCCTTAAAATTGACATTTTACATTTCTTGTTTGCTGAAAAGCTCTTTAATACAAGATATACAAATATTTATCTCCGTCGAAAAATGTAAATACACATCTTTAGAAGGTGAGTACGTGATTTATGGAGGGAAACTTAAATGAAATCCTAAACTTACATCATTATCGGAGTAAGAATTGATACAAACTTCTATTCATGAGATTTGAACGGAAAACCCTTAGAGGCTTTTTTTTGTGTATTTTTTTTTTAACAAATAATGTTATTTACATTAAGGAGAGGAGGCTAAGCCTCACCTGGATTAGTAATAATGTGGTTTAGATTCGCAATGGACTACACTAAGGGAGTGTGATGGTTGGCTAAGCTCACGATGAGAACGGAAGTAACGTGCAAAGTTCTGTAGGAAGCTTGTGGATTTACAAATAAGGAACACAAGGAACTTTTCTTGACGGATCCATTTAGAACCCAAATTTTTACAGATTGCACATTCTGTGATTGCATTCACATAAATAGTCTGGTGGATACCGGGTCAAAACTTTCTCATCTCCTAAATTATCGTAATAGTTTCGAACCCTTTCCCCTCTTCTTAATTAATCTACATAATAGGCTGATATTTACCAAATAAATGAAACACAGGGACATGTAGAGATATACAGACAATAACAAATAAAGTATAATCTTAGAAGTTCTGGTTGCTCCCAACGAAAAATGAATCGATAGCTATATGTTTGCCTTCTTTCTGGGACAGCTTCGGCCTTTTGTCTTTCCTTTGGCTTGTACGATGATCCTTCTCGACATTTCTGACAAGGTTTCTAACCAAAAATATTAGGTAAAACTAACTTATCAAGAGAAGAAAAAACGGATTACGGAGAGAGGAAAGTTGGAAACTCAACGTATAAGGTCGTTGTCGATAAAATAAAATAAATTATTTCGATGGCAAGCATAGACAAGATCTATGGACGAAAACAAACTTTTTACTAGATTAAAGATGCAAACCATGTTCTCTTGTAATCAGGCGAGTGCGGATTATCAGTAACAATGTCAACCGCTTAACATCATACTTCAACTCAAAATTGTACATTTAGAGAAGATTCGTAGCTGATGGGTATGAGCAAATAATAGCAGCAAATGAAAGTGTAACTGTTTGGATCAAAACTTGAACTTTGGGCTCAAGAAAGGAGCTGGCCCAAAAGAAGGCCTGAAAGAAAGAGTTGGCCAAGGCCCAGCCGAAACCCAGAAAAGCAGAAAAGGCCTTTTCTGACTTGGTGCAGCTCATGAAGACCACTTGCTCACCTACCCAAAGGCCAAGTGGTATAGACTGATCAGCTACACAACCCATAAAGTACTTTATGGTGGCAGTACATGTAAAATAGCTGATAAGTCATCACCCTTCAAACCGCATTCGGGCAAGGTTGCTGCTACAGCCGAGTTGTCTATATAAGAAGAAAGAGAAACCAGGAATAAGGACACTCAATCAAACAAACAAATGCAAGCACAAACTCTGCTCAAAGCCAGATTTGCCTTCAAAACGAAGCTGTAGTCAGCCCAAGCCTTCATCCCTTTCGGGACAAGCCTTCATCCCTCGCGGGATAAACCTTCACTCAAACCTTTGTAATAGCTCTGCTATCCTGTTCAACCTTGCTGTAGTATCGATTCATCTTTTGTAATCTCTCTCTATCTCCCCCTCTCTCTCTAAAGCTTTCAGACCCTTGATAAACTACAAAGATAGGAACTTGCAAGACGATCAGCCTTACCTGACAAGGTTAAACCTTGCCCGACCTTCTTTGTTTTTGTCTTTTCATTCATTAGCCTAGCAATATGTTGTATACTTCCAGTTGTATTCAAGTTATTTCTAGCAAGATGACTATTAAAAGGCTTTCTCAGTATTTGGATCCGATTTGAATACATCTTCAGTGTTCAAACCAGATCCAAGTCCTAAGCCCTCGGGCATGCAAATCTGATCAGTTAAAAGTCCTTGGCCTCAAGGCATAAAAAAGAACCTTATGTGGACTTAACCCATCCACGACAGTCCTTGATAAACGAGAAGTCTGAAGTTACTTGGGGCGTAAGTAATCGACCTACCTCTTAGTTTTATTTCTATTATATTATGATTATCATAGAACGCTTAAGCATGGAATGGATTCTGATAGGAAGCCTCAAGGCCTACACCTAAGGCCCTACGAAGGCACTTATTTGGATTCATTCTGTTCTGCGATCTAGAACGTTTGAGTATAAGAACGAATTCTAATGGGAAGCCTCAAGGCCTACATCTAAGGCCCCATAAAGGCACCTATTTGGGTTCATTCTACCTATCGGACTCGGGTAATCAGAAGTATAATAGTTATAAGATTCCTACCATCACGAGAACAAATATGATATGTTCGAGCACTGGTTTAGTTACTGATAGGAAGCCTCAAGGCCTACACCTAAGGCCCCACAAAGGCACCTGTTATAACTAACACAATTTCGCGGGTATATACATATATACAACTAAAACTCGACATCCATTTTACATCTGCCATGCTGAAGATGGCAGTGGCACGCCTTAGCACCTAAAAGTTAATCTTGATTGTGAGCCTCAAGGCCTACACCTAAGGCCCCACAAAGGCACCTCTCAAAGTTAACTCTGTCATTCTCTTTCAGCCTTGCACGACGAGCCTTGCCTGAAGAGTCTTGCCCGACGAGACTTGCCCGACAAAGCCCGACAGTGAAGCAGAAGCCCGACAGCAGCCCTCAACCGGCGCCAACCTCCCGGGGAGCTGTGTGCTCGTCGGCCAGGAAACATCCCCGATGGAAATTCTTGACGCGAACATAGTTTTGGCACGCCCGGTGGGATCCCCTTTTTTATCAGAAGATATATGACAAAAATGCCAGAAGATTTGCAAACCACATTGTTGCAAATGTTGCAAAGATTAGAGAAAGCCTCCACCAGCCAGCCAGGAGAGGTGATGGTGGACAATCCTGCAATTCCCTTCTCAGAAGCCCCTATAAATATGATCAATATGGCATGGGCTGAGAAGGGGAAAGAAAAAATTACGAGGGAAGTAGAAGAAAGAAGAAAGTAAACAAGGGGGCAAAGAGTTGCCCGAAGTCAATTCAAACAGTACCAAAAGCAGAGCAGGAAGCAAAACACATGTTCATTCCAATAAGAAAAGAGTTACAAATCATCCTATTCTAAAAAATTTACATCTTCACATAGGGTGATTATTCGAGAATGATATGTTTGCATAATGGCAAATATCCTACTGGGTTCGGCCAAAACAGTATGGCTATTTACAAGTTGAGACCTGGCATGCTCTAACTCCAAGTTTGATTTCTCTACTCCCTCGATTTGGTTCTCAAGGGTATCCAGAAGAGTTGCTTGTTCTGCTTTAAGAGCAACCAGTTGTTCCTCCAGCTTTTGAATCTCAGAAGTAACAACTCTGACCCTTTCTTTTGTCTGCAAGCTTTCTTCCATCAACCGATCAACTTGAGCGGATGTGCTTGACTCTTTCTCCATAAAGCACCTTGCCCGATTAGCTTGTCTGTCCGCTCTCTGGTATTGCTCCCTAAGAGCCCTCAAATTCTCAAAGAAAGAGAGAAAGGAATCATGATGGGGTTTTGATAGCTGACCAGTTTTGAAAGACTCAATTATGACCTTTTCTTGGTCACAAAGAGCCTTGAGGCTGAATGAAGCGGTGAAATCCTTCCTTGCCCATTCTTGGAAGACTCGTTGTTGCTCTGAAGAAACGGAGGTTGCTGAAGAATGTCTTGAAGATTTCAACCTTGTCTCAAGTCGCCCAAGTGCTTCAAAAAGTTTGGGCAACTTAGCAGGGTTTGAGGATGGGAAAGGAGGAGGATCCTGCACTGCAGCTCCCTCTAATGGAGCAATGCCTACTGGGGGGCAATTTCTGTCTGCCCGATCTGCTCAATTCCAGAAGGGGGAATCTCAGTACCTCCAGAAGATAAATGAGGACGAGAGCGCTTTGATTTACGGACTAAATGAGGGGGGAAGTTTCTTTTGGAACTTGCTGCAAAAAGCCAAAAGACCAGGTCAAGACAATCTGAATACAGTTTGAGGCAAAAAGAGGCTTTGGAGAGAAGAAATGTACCTGACTCAGCCCTGGGGTTTCACCAGGAAGAGTACTAACCCCTTGTTAGGGGGAAGATTCTTCACCACCAGCAGGAGAGGAAAGAGCTGCACCTGAACCTGTACCAGTGCCCTAGAGATATCCAAAGACAGCAGTGATTGTTAGTAAATAGATCGTAAGAGGGAACCAAGAAGAAAATACTCTCATACCTGAGTTTGGTCTTGAGGAGGAGAAGGAGGTTCATCAATATCAACTGTCGGGCAAGCAAATGCCCGCGA